CACAAGTATAAATACGCACACAGCTGGCCACCCAGTACAAGGGACAGGAAAACAACTTCCTTCTCTTTCAGGTTGACAGGGTCATGTCTTTGGAAGAGAAGATTAAAATGCAAAGATATCTGTGCACATATCCCAACTGCTCAGTGTTACTTACCCATTGTTTTCATCAAGAGAATACAATGAAGGGTAAGAATAATAGGAGCCAGGTACTGAAGAGCTATAACAGTAAGGTAGCAGAAGATACGGGAAATCTGTGCAAAAACAAATTAGGTTCAATCATCAGACAGGAAAGAAAAACATTGAATACAGTGTGACTGTATTTTATTTACAGTAAAACTGCTTTTTTTAATTTTTTTTGAAATAGCAAGGCGTCAGTGTTTTTGCACATATTAGTGCACATTATGTTTAGCATTTCGCCTAGAGTGTTTAGCACTTTTTACGTAGGTTGGATGCGCACATGGACACGCAATTTAAGGAGCAGATTGAAATACATTGCGTTGAATGGACAAACACGTGCAAAAATGTGCATGGAAAGGTGCAAAACGCTCGTGTCACGTATTTCCAGGCATTTCCATTGAAGATGGGGCTAAACAAGCTATAATCTGACCCCCAAAAAAAGCTCATGTACTTTTTCCAGCGTTCTACAGCTTGTGAAAAAACTCTCAGGTGTGAACAAGGGCCATTGAAATCCTTGAGAGTTTTGTCGCTCTTAGCTTTGAGCATCAAAACGCCTAGATGAGAACCGGGACTAACACTGGCCAATACAGAAAAAGCACATTTTTTTTCTGTCTTTTTGTCTACAGATTACATAAAAAATTAATTGTACAGGATAATATTGGCTAGCTTGTCCTCAGAAAAAGTATGTAGGTTTTATGTTGTTATATTAAGTAAAAACAAAGTTATTGCTGAATAAACAGGCCCATAGTAGAAATGTAAAAATTGCTCTGGTCCAGAACGGGTATAAAAAAAAAAAAGGTACCAGAGCTAAAGGGCTTAAAATACTTTTTTTTTTTGGCTTTATTCCTCTTTTGGGTCAAAGGAGGACATTTACTAATGCACTCATGTGACCCAAAGACAGCATCTAGTAGGCTACTGCCTGTTTGGCGACAGTGCAGAGCTGTGCTGCAGCCGGGAAAGATCCAGACAATATTTCCCGGGATCCACCCCGCTGCCTGATTGACAGCTGGATCTTCCTCTCTAGAACCAGCTGTGCCCGCCTCCTCCAGTCTGTCCCTCCAATAAGCACTGCCGTTGTCCCGCTGATCCCGGGCTCCGTTGTGCCCCGGTGCGAGCCCGGTTTGGCCAGGAAGGGAGTCTAAACACCTGGTCTTGAAGTGGTTAAAAAAAACACAAAAAGTGAATATTATAGAAGTTTACTAGTAGCCTTTTTCTGCAATAGGATTCTCCTTTGTTAAAGGTTCAAAGTCAGTTTCGTAAGTACACACAGCCGTTGTGATTGTATACTGATCATTTTGTCCAGATCTGGTGATGATAGTCAGATCTATGGGTAAGGGCAGACCTAAAGCACTCAAAGCACAGCCTGCTTACAGTATTTAGGGTGGGCCCTCTCCCTCTTGCTAAAACTCTGCATTAAACTGCAAAAAATAAATAAAATTGTGGGGGGCAAAAAAGTTAGTTGACATATTTACCCTTTCCCCCACCTTCTGTACTGCAAGGGGTGACAGCACCATGCCAACAAGAGCCCAAAGAATGTAGAGTAGCCCAAATCTCTTGAGAACACATAGCACATTACATAATCATCTACTCAAGATTTGGTTACCCAACATTACCCAGGATCTTTCAGGAAGGATAAAGACATCACCTACACCTAGGCTCCCACAGTCGAAGGCCAGGAGAAAAATAAGTATCTTACCTATCTCTCCCCCTCAACAGTTTTTTTCTTCCAAATACATTTTTATTGTGTACACAAATACAGTGTAATACAGCATAACAAAGTATGTGCTAAGTCAGGTGATCAAAACTTAGACAAGCACACTTGAACATACTTGACAATTCGGACTTTAAAATTTGACTAAGCACTGGGTTTATAACCTAAAAATCAAGGAGGATAGTAGGGGATGTTTTTTTGGCAGTTCTATGCAGTATTATAGCTAGGGGGGCAAACTAAATAAGCAGACCGTACTATTTTCTGCTATAAGCAATCAGTTACTTATGCAGACATTCACATTCATAGGACATAGCTTGTGGACTTTGTAAGATGTACACCATAAAGTCTTACTTGGCTGTCATGCACAAATCATAAATGTCGAACCAATGACCTAACAGTAATTTTGTATAGATGTAATTGTCTATTATATATTCATTCCACACATTATATCTTGTGCGTCCTACGTACTTTACGCTGGATCTCCAACATAGATATACGCCCAGCTTCTCTTTTCATCTGCTCCACCCAAGTATCAGCCACTTCCAGGTAGGCCTGCAAATGGTAGCGGGTCAAGGAGAGACGGAGGAGGCATAAAACAACGATGATCCACAAGCGGAAGGTGTTGTACGTTGAGTCAGACATACTGGGAATAAGACATTGAAATTAGACTCTGCATTAATGCTAACATGCAATGCCGGACTAGGATAATGGATTCATATCCTACACCATAAAAATACCAGCAAAGTAAATATTTTTATTTAATAAAATGTCACATTCACAAACCCGAATTCAACATAATACAAAGCCCACAAATACCATGATCACTCTCACACACATAACTCTCACATAGTACAATATTCATATAATAAGGCCCCCCCCGCCACAGCTCTGATCAAAGCATTTATCTGATATTATCCTGATCATAAATATTATATAAACGTACCACTACATAAAGAATTGTAATGATTATACTAAAGTGCATAGGGACAAGATCCTACAATTCCAAAATGATGTGGTACAGTCAAACATGGTTGGCTTAGAGAAATCAAAGAGGCCTTTTTGTTATGGGGATGATTTGCTGTGTTTGCATAGTCCAGGCCGGTGCTAGAATATTTTGCTCCCTAGGCAAGACCAGCTATCAACACTGGAGCAAACATAATCCGGAGCAGTTGCCCATGGCAACCAATCAGCATCTCTCTTCATTAGCAATATTCAGCAATCCTAAAAGCATAAGGTGAAAAAGACAGATGGTTGCATGCAGCACCGAAAAGGATCTTCCTGTGAATATTGGCAATTTAAACAATATGAAGTAAGTAAAACAAAAAAGGTTTGAATTGCATTTCCACCCTATAGCTGACCATACATGGAGCACATTTTGCTGGATTGTTGATCGAAAATTGATGGAACCAGATGGAAATTTCTAATCCAAACAGTGGCTGAAGCCAATAAGCAGAAGTTACTGTTCATGTATTCTAACAGCGGCGTCGCGCCAAGGCACCTCTTATAGTGCGGTCCTAACTCTAAACTATGAGAGTCTCCATCTTGGAGCACATGTAGCAAAATATAAAACTGGGTGCAGGTTCACCAGGAAGCCCAACCTCCTTATAGGCACAGGGACACACAAGGGACCCCGCACATCACAACGGCAGCTGAGACCCCCAATGTGTCACTGTACCAAATCAGTAGCAAAACAAACAGCAAACACACTCTTCAACTCATAACCAGCTTTCCAGATCATCTCCAGACCAGACCAGACTGTTTCCAGACCCAAAATGCATCCTAATGTATCCCTATGCCTCTGTCCACACAAGCGCAGTCCGTTCCAGACCAGGCCAGAAAAATACTGCAAGTCTCATTTTGTCTGGAATGCACTGGTCCCCACCCTGGTCTGGAAAATGGTGTGAACCTGCCCTAAAACAGAATGTTTACAAACACAGGGTAGTCACTTCAAAATGTATTTATATGCTTTATATACATTTTCACATTTGCTTTTTAGAATAGTGTTTAACAATATATTTTACTCAGAGACAGTACTAACTTACTGTAGCATTGGTCTATCTGCTGCCATTTTAAGAGCATCTAGGTGAGTCTGAGCCAAACGTAGGCCCGGAAACGTCAGGCAGGCACCAAGGAAAGAGCAAAGTGCCACCAAGGCAATTTTAAAGGCAAGTATAATAAAAGGAATCCTAAAAAGGGAAAAAAACCAAAGCATCAATATACTATTTTTTTCTAGGTAAGCCATGCAAATTTTGTGTGTGGAAGGTACTCAAAGTAGATGTAAAGTCTAATCCTAGATGACATTTATATTGCTAAAGCACTGTACATCATAAACAATATTTTTCCCCATGAAATATTGTTTTTGTGTACTTTTGCATCTCAGTGCTACTAATCTCCTCCACCCTCTTTTTTTAATGCACTCACCTTAGCAGCGGTTGACCATCACTGTTCAGGACAATAATGATAACAGTGGACCATGCCTGCAAAATGTGTGTCAGCATGGCTGCTTGTTGACCGAAACTGGGGTACGTGTGACAATGTAGGAGCATACTTTGTATACAGTTATAATCCGAAAACAGGAAGTGTCTTTACTGCAGGATCAACAGTCATTATTTTAGAACATTTTTCAAAATGCATTCTTTATGAGATTTTAGTGATTGGGTTTAGATCTACTTTAAAGCAACCTGCATTTCAGATATAGACTTAGGCTGGGATCACACCTAGGCGTATCGAATATGCGTGTTTGTCGCCGCCTGTTTTTACCGCGATTTGCGGGTTTTCGAGGGCTACCTGGCTGTATCCCAATGGATACACGCGGCAAATACGCCCCAAAGAAGCTCCTGTACTTCTTTGGGCGTAGGGCGTTTTGCAGAGCGTTCCTACGCGCTGTAAAACGCCCAGGTGGGAACCATGCCCATAGGCAATCATTGGTTTTCACATGTTGAGCGTTTTACAGAGCGTAGGAATGCGCTGTAAAACGCCCAGGTGTGAACCAGGCCTTAGTGGTATAACACTGCACTGTGTATAGTTTAGACAAATCTTTGTGAATAGACACTTACGACACCTGCCAGCCTCGCTGCTTCATTAAGAGTTCCAGATTGTGACAGATGCTGTTCAGACCTGTAAAGAAAGTCCATGATGTATGAAGTAGAGTAAAAGACACATACAATGAGGCAAGTAGAACTGTAAACCACAGGCTAAAAGGAGAACCAAAACAGGCCTATGCTAAAATCCTTATTTATTAAAAGAGAAGTAAAGCCATACCTTTTTTAGCTTTAGTTCTCTTTTGGCTCACAGGAGTATAATTGCTAATGTATTCCTGTGACCCAAAGTCGGCAGACAAAGGGCTTATGCCTGTTAGCAGCCGATAGGGCACAGCCAGGAAGGTTCCCAACAATATTGTCAGTATCTTTCCTGGCTGCCTGATAGCTGGCTCTGTCTCTCTAATGCCAGAGCCAGCCGTGCCAACTCCCTACCCAGTCTGTAGCTTCAGCCAGCGCAGAAATAGAGTGGGGAGGGGAGAATCCCTTCAGGGGGGCAGTGACTGTCAGTCACCGCTCTCTGCTGGAAGCAAGCACTGGAGCTGACTGATCAGCGGTTAAATGATCCCTCAGCTCTTAGACTTAGAGCCAGTGTGGGATAGCTGACGTCCCATGCTGACTCTCAGGACTGGGGACAGTACGTTTTACTCTCCCCATACTTCTCTTATAATATATGTAATTGATACATGGGCCACAGCATGAGGTTCTATTGTTAGCTAGATGTAGGAAGGAAAATATTTATGTAACATGCTCACTCATAATTCTTATTACGTTATTGTCTGGTACCAGACTGAGGGCTTGGACCACACTTCTACGTTTAGGTGTAGAAGATTAAAGCTTAGCTGTAGTCTTCAACTTGTTCACAAATAACAGCCTTACATTTTTTTGTAATGCCATGCGAGTGATGTTGAGCTGTTGCCCATAGCGCATGGTAAATTAAATGAGCTGATGATTCAGTCACAGCACATTACAAACACTACAGTTAAAGAAGTGGACAACACACATTACTCACTCAATGTCTTAAAGCTCAATTCCAGGCAGAAGAAAATAAATAAACAAATAGTAGTTGTATTATGGGATTCCTCTTGCAGGTCAAGTCTTCTGATGACGCCATAGGGAACAAAACTTGAATCATCTCAATATAGAAGATGTGTTCTAGTGCTAGACTCAGGTCTTTAAAAGTGTTGGAGAGGGAGGTCTTAGAAGATTTTCTATTTTGCCCGGAGTTCAGCTTTAAAAATGAGTGAGCAGCCATGCTTCAAAGAGATAATAATAAAGCGTTTTATGCAAGACAAAGAGGATGAATAGGTGCTTAAGCTCACCTGATTCCAGTCCAAACTCCAGATATTCTTCCCTCACAATCATCACTATCATAGCAATGAGAACAAAGAAGAAAGCAAATGTCAAACAGACAGAACGCTCTCCTCCTTCTTCAGAACGGAAGTAGTGCTTCATCATTGTCAAGAGGACTTTACTGAATGCCTCAAGATAAGGAAAGTAAGACTTGAAAACATACTAACATCATTCTTATTATGAACCTTACTCACTTTTAAAAGTATATGCCCTAAACAGCAGATACTAAAAGACGCCTGCTCTTTCCGTTATTAAACACATAGAGGGGAATTTATCAAAATTGGAACAGACAAAATCTGGAGCAGTTGGCCATGGCAACCAATCAGCTTCTCCTTTCAGTTTGTTCAGTTAAGATTTGAAAATGAAAGAGAAGCCGATTGGTTGCCGTGCACAGCTGCTCCAGATTTTGATCAATTCCCCTCAGAGTCCTCTTTTGTGGCCTTCTCTGATCTAGTTTCACTTTTACTTTCTCCGACTTGATGGCTAAGCTAATTCGACTGCCATTTTGTATCCAATTATAGTGCTTTTACTGGTCATTGAAGCAGTTTAACTGGACACTGAAATGCCAATTGGCAAGGCTAAGAGATAAAGTCAGGTCCCGGTAACAAAGAGAAACTTAATTAGAGACGGACATAGAAGAGGCTTTTCTGTATAATAAATGTAATGGCAGGTATCTTTTGGTGTCTGCGTTTAGGTACATCTACATCAATTTTAAAATGGTGCACCGGTTTATTTTAAAGGGACATTGTGAGGTATTGAAGTCAGTAGGGACTCATCTTGAGATAGTGGCATTTTTACTTAAAGTAGAACTACGCTGTTCCAAAACAGAAACAAAAACCCAGAGCACCAAATGTAAGGGCTGAGGGCTCTTGAGCCTGCACTGTATAGGTACCATGGGTAACATAAGCTGATTAAACTTCAGATTTAAGTATTAGGGCTTAGATACACTTTACAATTCATTTTCGGCAGGGTTTTTTTTTAAAAAAAGTATATTTTTACAGTTTGTGTTTTGATAATTTCATGACACATTACTGACAGATTTTAGGTACTCCCTTTGTTGCACATATTGCAAACAGTTCCTTATTGAATGTCTGCTGTGAGAAAAATCAATGGCATGAAAAGCTTCCTAGAGAGTACATTGTTTCCAATGCACACCGCTCTGTCCATAAACAAGCAACCAGTAATGCACACTTACTGTGCTGAACTGCCAAGCATCAAGCTCAGAATATACTGTATACACAATGAGTAACTATGTTAGGATAAAAGTAATGTTAGTAATATAAATATGATTACATTCACATATGTGTTTAAAACTTTAAGAAGAACACAAAAACCCTTTTTACACTGAAAGTCTCACTGTTAACATTTTAAACACTGAACAGTTTCCCCCAACCCCCATAATTTGTGTCACAAGGATACATGGAGAACATGACAGTTATAAGACACCAGAGAATCCCAATGTTCAGCTCATTTTGGGCATCCACAAGGCAATAATATCCCTCAGTGAACAGGTAAATGATGGTTGAATATAAAGCAAAGTCTATAAACCACTGATACTCCAGGAAATAGCGAAGGACTGCAAATAAAGCAGAAAATCAATTTTAAAAACAGGACATACAGTAAACACATTACATTTTGTCTAGTGAATGAGCATACTGCAAGCACATTTTTTTAATTATTCATCTAATAGAGGGACTGTCACCTTATACATACAGGGCAAAGTGACAGTGTATGTACAAAAGGACATTCTTCAACCGCATATACTCAACTTACCTGCAATCCCTCGCAGCTCCTTCACAGTCGGCAAGAGTACCCAGCACTTCCAGGTGTGCAGGAAAAATGTGAGATGCCCTCCTGTGATGGTGCCGAAGCCTAGCAGCCAACCACTAGGCTCGAGCACAGTCACACAATGGGGGAGCGACGTTACCACTCTGCAAGCCACCAACACAGCCGATCTCAGCAAGGCTGTGGAAGAGCAAAGAGTTGCGAGGGAGTGCACGTAAGGCAAGTATGGGCGTTGGGGGGTGCCCTTTGCAGAGACACTGTCACTTTGCTCTGCATAGGCATGATGACAGATTCTCTTTAAAGTTTAACAAAATGTCTATTTCTCCACCAGGGAAAACAACAACAACCCCAAAAAAGGAAGAAAGAGAGGGGGAATGAGAGAGTGAAAGCGCGCACAAGAGAGAGAGATTCTGTGAACATGTACAACTCAAAAAGCATTTTAGCATAAACAAGTTCCAATAAGTAGTTGACACTAAAAGGTTTGATTTGCTCTAGGTAAGGGCAGCTACTCTGCTGTGGAATATTACTTTAATTTTATCTTTGTAAGTGTGTACATTTTTAACACACTGATTTTACCCCCAATCATATGTTGTTCCACTACTGCAAACAGCCTTACGTTTTATGCTTCTACAATAAAGTTAAAAACATTACCAAGAGAATCAATAGCAGTAATTTGCTGAGTGTCCAAGTGCAAGTCTATGTCTCTTGGAACTGTCAGGGGTTTTTCGTCTGTCATTCCATTAACTCTCCTAAGGACACACAAAAAAAGTAAATTCAACTTTACTACAACAATGTCTTTATCACAAATTTCCTTCCTTTAAACAACTGTTCCCTTCACAGAGGTTCACAAAGGCACAAAGTATAATTTATTTACTGAAATAATAAAAGGCATTTTCTTTGCAACCCTTCTATTGTCCAGTTACATGTTCCAAACATTAAATTATGTCTCTACACAAGTGGTAGAACTTTGCAATTAAAGTTGATGCTAAAAAAATTAAAAATAAATACATAATACATATATCACTGGAGCCACTTACCTGTAACCACAGCACAACCTTTGTGATGTGCCAAACATTCAAAAAGATCCTCTTTCTGTCCATCAAGGCCAGCCAACAGAGTTAAATGTTTGGCCATCTATGGCCCTCCTGGCATGTCAAAAGGTGATTTCCCAATGTTTAGCAGCTGTTGATACCCCAACAAAAAGTAACATTGAATGCCGGCCTTCGCGACAAGGATCCAAATAAATGGACATGTCCCACTTTTGTACCCTTAAATGCTGTCTTCTAGATGCCACCATTTCTGGTTGTCTTGTTCTTTAAAAACTATAAGCAATTTTCCTGATGGCATTATAAAGCTGCCCATTTCTTTGGGGATCAGATAACTCAGAGCCAAACACTAAGGGGCATATTTAAATAGCAGCAAATCTGACATTTAGCAAACATTCACTGCAGATATGGTCAAACTGGACATAAATTCGGCTGAAAGTCATGCACAATCAAAAGATATATTGACAGCACACACACAAGCACTGTAAAACCGCATCTACATTTCAGGAATTTCAATACCAAACAAATACTTACTGGTGCATCATTGGAGCCTACAGGGGGCTGAAGCTCCTCTCTTCAAGGACATAGGATCAGTTATCTATATAAATATACTTAACTCCCAGGCAACCTGCCATTCTTTTTTTTCTCCTCGGTAATAGGATTAAAACATTTTTGAAAAAGGAACTTCGTTCTAGGGTACATTTACATTTACCCACCAGCATGGTTTATGAGAGTTGGAAGTACCATCCAGCCCAAATATGCTCTCTCATGCTTACTTCCAGCACCCTTGCCCAGCCATTGCCTGAGTTGAGCAGCATAAACTAAAGCTGGTCATACACATATAACTTGCGAGTCAGCCCCACTGGCTCTCAAAACACCTGAGCAATCTGATTGGAAGCAGGCATTGTTCAGGTATTTTGAGAGCCAGCGGGGGCCGACTAGCAAGATAATAAAGCCCAGTGGGAGATTCCTCCACTTTTTCCATCTGACCATAGAAAGTTTGCAGATAATCTATAGGTGTATGGCCAGCTTTACTATGCAGAAACCTACTTTAGAATTTGGACTAAATATGCACAATTTGCAGCTCACAACCAGTTTAATGACATCGCTCTAGAAGTCTCAAATATCTTTTTTTTTTCAATCAGGACTGGAAGTGGGCTTATCAGTCAGTTCTTTTAGAACAATTTCAGCCTCATCACATGCACAGTGGGTAGCTCATCCTTTAATTGTCCAGTTACTTAGAGCATGCAAGAGGATTTTGCAAACTAGAATGTCTTTCTTTCCCCAGTGGCATCTCTCACTTCTCCTCAAGACTCAGAACCTTCTTTCTCTCCTGTAGAGTAGTGCAGCCTTTGAGACCTAACTGGGGTCTAACATTAAAAATGGCTTTCCTGGTAGCAATTACAGCCACAAAAAAAGGTATCTGAAATACAAGCCCTGGGTCATTAGAATACCTTCTTAACCTTCTTCCTGGATATAGACAATGCTGGACCATATGCCAAAGGTTACAGGCTAGTATATCAGATTTTAGAAAGCTTTTACTGCTATGCTGTAAAAAGCCTGAATAATATGTACTGTGAAAAGCCCTGAGTAACCAGATATCAGATACACATGCAGCTAAACGACTCTGCTAGTAGACATGTACTCATCTGGATTTGTATCCAGCAGGAGCAGTCAAAGATTACAGAGGCAGTTCTTGCCTTTACGATTAGGGAGGACCTGCATGCTCGGGAAAATGTACATCATGGAAATACTGTGTACAAAATGCTTATTTGTAATTTTGTATACTGATAATAAAAATAGATTATAGATTTGTAAAATGTTAAATAAAACTGAACAAGACCATTATAATTTCATTTCGAGGTCTCCGGTCATATACTGTAAATGTTTTTCCTACATTGCAATTTCTATTTTTTTGCCCCATAATCCCATTAGCTGTTCATGTATACCTGTATAACCAACATTATCTAAATGATAAAAGTAATGAAAACCATCACAATTCAGACACAGAAAAGTTGTTCTCACTGAAGATATGTTTGAGAACCTCACCTTTCCCTCCTAGCTTTGGGTTTCTGCTTCCCGGCAAGTGCTCGAAGCTCATCCTCAGTTGGGTGTTTGTAACGGAACAGGCTATAACATAAAACAAAAAAAACCTTTAGAAGGACAGTATTGAAGGATTATATATTAAAGCAGTGTAGTCTCACAAATTTCGATACATTATACCAGTATGGTTATTCTTGACAAAGCTTCAGCTACCACTGATATGATATGGACAATATTACTGTAAAAGTTTTAATAGTATATTACCATATCCCCCCCAGAAAAAACTACTCCTGTTTTGGGGATTTTCAAGCCTTTTTTGCTTTGTTTTGATAGAAGAAGAATTATATGGTACCCAGCACCATTATTACAAACCTATTACAATGCAAAGTACCACTTTGAAGTTACAGGAGCTTGAAAAGGACGTTCTAAGAAACATCTTCATTTAATAAACAAATTATTATGCAATTCAGGATCCAGTCTGTCCAATCCAGGAGCCATTCTGTCCAGTCCAGGAGCAAGCAGGATTATTTTTTGGAGCCAGCTCCATTGACAACAAGAGAAGAAAACCTCAAAAGTAAGACACCAGCTGTAATTTGTAAAGAGCCTTTAATAAATCCTGGGATTTGTCCAACCTTACTTTAATACGTGTTTGAAGTAAACTCACCTTCCATTACATAGGATCCATCGTGCAAAGGAGTAGTGGGGGGACACTCTATGCATGATACTGGCCGCCAATAAAGAGACCACCATCTGTATGCCCATCACAGCCTAAAAAGAAAGGTAAGAAGAAACAGCAGAATTACTAATGAATGGCATCTGGTTATGCATGGCACAAAGGACTATCAGTACTGCACATATATGGCATAACTCCTTTTCTGGATGGAACATATACACTTCACCTCTCAAACAGTCTTTGTCCATTGCACTATAAGAAAACTCAATTTTGCATTGTTACTTGTAGACACCAGGTGCATTGTCATGCATTTGGCTACACCATCCAGCACATACAAAATGCATGAAAAAAAGGTGTATTCATACTGTACACACCAATGAATTGGGTTAAAGTGACTTAGACAACATTTCTGAAACCAGGTTTTTATCTGTGTTGACCCTCATTTCACCACTTATCAATTAGATAGTTTCAAATACAAGTCTAAAACATGCCAAGGCACATATTGAGAAGGAAGTGAACTTTGTCCTCTGCCTGCCTTTTTTTAAGGCACAGTTTTCAAAGTATTAGTCACTGGTATTTATGTGGTCTCTGCGCAGCTAATCTTTCCCAATTACAGAACTATCATGCATGGTTTTGTCTCTGTATAGAGACGGCCATCTTGGTGGAGGCAGCAGTTCCTAATGTCAGAGCCTGTAGCAGAGAGAACAGTGGACTGCACAGTAGTGACATCATCAAATCTCACTCTTGATCTCCTGAGAGTAGCAGTGCCTTAGATCTCACACTGTAGATATACAGTTATAAGGTACCCAGATGCACTCGCATACCAGGAAATATACTGCTATTATTCAACAGGAATTCAAGACAAAAATATGGATTAAGAAAAGAATGGAGATCAAAATCAGCATTTATCCAAAATTTCATGTAAAAAGGAGAGTAGAAATGAGTGAAGCAGGCCAGGAAGTTAAGTCAAAAATGTGTTCTAGTGTGCCTGATGCCACTGGAGACCACCTGTTCTTTACTCAGATGCTCTCCTGCTGCCTTACAAATATACTACACAGTACCAGCTGTCGTCATCAGTCTCCTTGGAGGTCACTTCATATGTTAAAAACTGCTGGCCAATTGGCAGGTCTCTAGGTTCCTGGTGACTAGCAAGTTGGGCCCCATTCATACCATTGCAGTTTAACCTACAAATCCTCTTTAAGCTTGGACCCGATTATTCTTTCCAGGCATCTTCTATCCTGTCACATGATGAGATGGATCATCCTCTTCCTGCCTCCAGCGGCGAGTGGGTGTGAGCACCATTCTCTGTAGCAGTACTGTGAGCCCAGGCCAGTGTGATGTGTCATAGATGAGCATCTCACACACGTCCCTCTCAATACCTTCAGTTCTACGGTGCAGGGCCAACAAAAGCACCACAGACAATAAATAAAGGCCATCACTCTGTCAAATGTTCATGGTCTTTATTTGCAAATGGATGTTAAACATTCATCCAATGTTTGAGGGAAGCATTGAAACATTGAATGGATATTTCATCCCCATATTACAGAAAGACTACCAGCTATTGAGATGATGCACCCCCAGGGGGTGTGTTTATGATGCCCTGGGTATACAGGAAGTCAAGGCCTGAATGGAACTGGGTGTCATTCAACCTGGAAGACCGGTGGTGGCACCAGCTGGTCAGAGTCAGCATTGAAAAGTAGGCGAGTATTGCAGCAAAAGCTGTATTTTCTATTTTAAACTACTGCTGGCCAATGTATTCATTTATTTTAACTTAGAGTTGGGCTTTACCCACTGCCTTGTGGTTTGATGCATGTTAACGCACCCTGACGTGATCTGCCTTTTACATGGTTTTCTGCCAGTTTGTCATTTTTCTGGGCAAACAAATATGAGGTTCTTAGCATGGAACTGCATTCAGAATGTGCATGAAGCATAATAAATTATTTAACAACCGTTGGATTCCCTACATAGTCTGTGTACCTCAGAACTGTATCCCCAGTGACTAAGTGTTTCTACTTTTTCTGCTTTGTTACACATGGACGCAACATAAAGAATAAAGCACAATAACATTTTGCAAAAGACCTAAGTCATGTAAGCAAAATGACTGACACGGCCCGTTGATGCTCCCTTTTTCTTTATAATGATTGCTAGACAATCATGGGTAGCTGTCATTTTTTTAAAAATAAAGTATACCGGTCATGAGAGAAACACTGCCACTTGAACTGGTAGGAGGATTCACTGCCTGAACTCTAGGTAAAAAAATGTAATCAAAAAATATTCATAAATGGCCACAAATGAAAAAATCCACATCATCTCTGTGCTGTGCATAGCCTGTGCAGAGAGCAGAGCTATGGGAAGGGCAAGCAGGCTCCATCCACAAGGGGCTAGCTGCATAAAACTACAGGAGGAGGTGGACACAAGACCAGTCACCCTGCACAAGGAGAAAGAGTAGCAGTGACTGGTCTTTAATACAGGAAACTCCTGCACTTTAATATTGTGGAGGGGGAATGATTGTAGGGAGCTTAGGTGAATCTAGGGAGTGAAGGTCTGCTTGAAGTGCACTAACCTATAGATACCAATCAGCACTGGCTGGCAAATGAATATGGAATTCAGGAGCTTGTCTGTCCAATCCAGAAGCCAATGGAATGTTTTAGGAGTCAGCTCCATTGACAACAACTAGAGAAAAACTCAATAATTAGGCGCCAGTTGTAAACTTTAAAGCATTGGCTACCTGGCTTCTGTGATTTGTCCAGCCCTGACCTACAGAATAGATCCTGTACTGATCCAGTAAAAGCAGATGGATTGCTATGGCTTACAGCACCTAAGATAAGAATGTTTTTATATTATAAGCCCCTTTATTACAGTCTGGTGCTAAGGCGTAACATTTTTGTTGCACTGTTTGTTTCGGCATGGCTGCAAAGAGACAGCAGTGGTACTTTACAAATTCTGGAGGAGATTTACTGTAAAAAAGGCCCCCTAGAAATTGCACACATGCAAACCAGTACGAACATAATCTAGAAGAAAAATACATTTACTATTAGCATTAGGGTGATCATACAGTCTACAATTTGATTGTACAATCGCCTTTGGTAAATCTAAAGTGGTTTGCACAGAAATTGCACAATTGACCAGCTTTAGAGTTTGAGGTCAAGTGCACATCGTGCGATCGTGTGCAGTTGCCGTGCGGGCCCCATTGATTTCAATGGGGTAATATCCGCGCGGCAATTACTGATAAAAGGTACATGTACCTTTTTTGGCAACACACAGCTTTTTTTAGCCAAGATCGTACGGGGAGAATCGCATCAAGAAACTGTGTGATCTGCCTGGCGCGACTGGGGTGCTATTGGAAAAGAATGGTGAGCGACTTTGTGACCGCGCGGCCATCTGTGATTGCTGCATGGTCACGGATCACGCAAGTGTGAACCTGGCCTGAGGGTGCATTCACACTAGTGATGGGCTCGGGCGTGTTCCCAGCTCTACGTGCCGAGCCCGCCAGGAAGCTGACAGCACGCAGCGCCAATCACAGGTACTGAGACATTTCCCGATCTCTGCAGCTGCGGACCGGGAACTTGTCTAGGACCTGTGATTGGCGCTGCGCGCTGTCAGCTTCCTGGCGGGCTCGGCACGTGGAGCTGCGAACACGCCCGAGCCCTTTACTAGTTCCCACCAGCAGCCAAACTCAACCACACGGCTGCTGGGGAGTGTGTCCCTGAACAGTGCCGATGCACTTTTTTTGGTAGAACTTTATTGAAATGTCACAAGTAACATTTCATTCAATTCTATGGGCTCGCTGCGGTGTGATACAGTTGTACCGCATCTCACTGCACTTTTTTAAAGCGCACAGCACGGGAACGCAGTAGTGTGAACTGACCCCATCCATGACAAGGCAATTGGTCTTTTCTTTCGCTCGGGCTGCGCTGGAATAAACAGCCAATGCATCTTGTACGCAGTGTGAACCAGATCTCACACTGCAAATAATTATAGATTGATTTCAGCCTAATCTATATGCAACCCCATCACATACAAAGATTTGAGACGTAACATTTTGCAAGTACTAGCACAAGTCAACTTACTGTAAAGTAACCAGCAAGTAAACACCAAAACATTCCTAATATAAAGAGAAAGTCTGTCTAGGATCGAACTCTCCTGCAGTATCATTCATTGCTCACCATGTTGACGTGTATCTTCGGACCCTGCTTAGAAGTGCAATTTACATTTCCTCAGCCATGTGATGACAGAACAGCTGCAGGGAGGGCATTGCGCTGTCCCTTTAAGGAAGTTAGAACCACTTTATCGTCTCAGCCACTCAGGAGACGAGTTAACGATGAATGACAGCCGTTCCACCAATTGTATGCCGGGATGGACTAGAGAAGGCGGCACCTTTGTTATTTATATTCACTCAATGCTTCCGGGTAGAGTGAGGTCAGCTGTGAAGCACGCTGGGACTTGTAGGCGTAGTAGCTGGAAGAGGTGGGCTCTGGGCTGTGTCGAGATAGGCACTAGGCAGCATGTGCTGCCTGGTGCTGCTAGTGTTTCACTCGCTCACGGAGCCGTATAACAAGCCATAATCATGCAGCTTTTACGTTGTTCTTTGAGAATTCCTTTATTTGTTTGGACCCAAGTTTCTGAAATGAGGGACAGAGATAGATTTTAGTGCAAAGTTTATTTGAATGGGCGGCCAATGCAAGCAAAAAATAAACACGACCATTTTATCAGACAGTGGGAGGAGTTAGCAAAATTGGAGCACAAACAAACAAAATTGGAGCCCATAGTAACCAATCAGCTGCTCTCTTCAAATTTTTCAGTTAAGCGTTGAAAATGGAAGACAGAAGCTGATTGGTTACTATGGGCAACTGCTCCAGATTCTGCCTGTTCCAGCTCCTCCTGGTTGTATTTTGGGGTGTCATTCAAAATTAACCACTTGCTGTCCGCAGCAGTTTCTTACCTTTGTGCGCCCGTGAAACCGCAAAAAAATACAATATCCCAAATTTGCTATAGGCGACGCTTTTAAAAGCTTTTACCGCTCATCAGTATAGTGTTAACAGTAATTGATGGACACAGAATTATTGCTATCATGCTGACGTTTGCGACAATATGTAACGTGTGTTGTGCAATTGTCGTTTTCGCACGTAGGCGCGCCCAATGTGTTTTTGCGTTTGTATGCGCAATGTGTATGTGGGGGCGTTTTTTTTCACATTTTTTTTTTCACTTGCTTTTATTGCTATCACATAGGGGGCTAGTTTGAATGTAGCCTAATACTAACCAGTCCGGGGTATGTGGAATTCTAATGTCACCATATTCAAGAGCTATAGCCTTCAGCAGAATTTTTACCATTCCAACACTTGGGTGAGTATTGGTTTTCTGCACACCATGTTGCATGCCGGTGTTCCTCCCTCCAGGCTCCACCTTACTACATGCTGGGTGCTAAAGATCCTTGGGCCACACTGGTTTTTAAAGGAGAACTATGAGGTGAGTGATTTCCACTCACCTCATAGTTCTAGCCGACCTGTGACAATGGGACTGTCACAGGTCGGCTCAGTAGATCGGGAGGTGAGCGAACACATACCGGGTTCGCTCACCTCTCGATCCTGTCATGGCTCTCTGCCGTGACAGGGGGAGGGCTGGACTCCCCGCTCCGATCTGCCAGCGCTGACTAGCGGAACGGACGGGGGAGGGTACAGCTGGCTCTGCCTCTAGATAGGCAGAGCCAGCTGTCACTCACGCAGCTGGGCGGATCCCGTCGTCTCAGTCGGGATCCGCTCCTGCTGTGGCATCTCAGTATACCGCGAGCTGTAGCTCGCGGTATACTGAGCTTTGGGTAACGGGAGGACGCTAGTTTGTGTCCTCCTGTTACCCTAAGGAGAACTATGGGGAAAAACACTGACCCCATAGTTCTACCAACAGTGATTGATGGCCCTAGAATTATTGCTCATACTCCGACATTCGTGTTGATATGTAACGTGTGGTGTAATCGTTGTTTTTCATAAGTAGGCGTACTTATGCTTATATTTGCGTGTACGCGGGGGGACTTAAAACATTTTTGGTTGTGTTTTATTTTATTATTAATAAGTGACTTTCATGGTTTTTTTTACTTTTTCTTTGTTTTACACCTAACTTTATTGCTATGTAAGTAGAGGGATGGGTCAGTTACTGACCATCCTTTATCATCGATACCCTCTATCCTTGAGCCCGGGACAGTATAATTTAGGGAATCTTGCATTTTCGGAGAGAAAGTTATCAACTCTATTCAATGTATGGACTTGTGAGTTAAGTCACAAACTCTGACATCGTGCGGCAGCAGAATTATTGGAGATGGATTTTCTGAATGTGGGCTTATTTCCTTATATTTTTAGAGATGATAGGTGAATTGGAAAAAGAGTGAGTCGGTCTATTAAGGTTATGATAAATAAATCAACAACCTATGCGCACAATAAGTGGTCTTGAAAGTATATTTAGAAGAGAAAAGTTACAAACTCTTCATACTGCTAGATTGTAAGCTCTCATGTGTTGAAATTGTATTGTTCTGTTGCCTTCTATTTTGTAAAGCGCTGAGTAACATGCTGGCACTATATAAATCCTGAATAATAATAATTAGGGATGCACCAAAATTTTGGCCGCCAAAATGGTACTTTGGGCAAAATGCCCAAAGTACAATTTTTTGGGCCGAAAATGTGATGCATCCCTAGTTCCCCTTCCCCGCGCTGGGCGCTGCTTTGTGTCCCCTATGACCCAGAGCAGTGCCCTGAGGGAAGGAGAAAACCTTTCAGGAGGCAGAGCGGGGTGGGGAGGAGGTGGCTGTCAGCTGTCACAGGAGGCCGAGCCGGTGGTGCAGAGGAGGAGTCAGCTGTGTCACAGGAGGCCTAGCTCTCCTCCCGCACCACCCGCTCAGCCTCCTGTGACAGCCGAGTCAGGATGGAGTCAGTTGATCGTTGAGTGTTCATTCATAATTGGGGACACAGTAGGAATACTAACGGTATGTCCTCAAATATTTACAAACAGGAAGTGCTCCACATCACTTCCTGTCCATTCATGATTCTGGACATAGTAACTATCTCCACAATTTATGAATGGACAGACTTGTGTTTGGTACACAAGGGGTTAAGACTTTTGTTTGGTACACAAGATAAAATGTGTGTTTGGTACACACGGAGTTAAAACTTGTGTTTGGCACACAAGAAGTTAACCAAGAGACGGCTTGGTGGTTCTCCTTTTTATAGAGTTATAAGATTATAGAGTTATAAGTTATATATTATAGAAGTATAAGATATATGTTGTAGAAGTATGACTTAAGATATATGTTATAGAAATATAAGATTTATTATATGTTATATATTTATATGCATGGGTAAGGTTTCTGTGTCACATCACTCTTAGTTGATCGGAATTGTCGGATGCCTTTGGAAACAGAGGTTTGTACAGCCGATCCTAATTGGGGAAGACACAAATAAAACCTCATCTATACATAGGGACTGTATAAGGGTCACCATTTGGTAAGGTGGGGATCCAACGTCCTTTTAAGCTGTGTTGAGATTAATCTTGAAAATGGGCTCCCAACAAAGCAAGGTATATCCTTCTCCTATATATGGGGAGGAGTGTTGTACAAATTATGTTGGAAGAGTGTCATGTACTGAATTTCATTTGGTAAATCCCTGGGTGGGCAAAACATTCTCTTGATGTGGGATATATTTCTTGTGCCCCTTACAAAGCTAGGCTGAAGACAGGTGTGTCACCAATCTATCATAAACAATACCCTTTATCTGTTGAGAAAAAGGAAGGTATAAGACCTATGATACAAAGTTTTCTGAAACAAGGTATTTTAGTGCCTGTAATCTCATTTTACAACTCTCCCAGTAACACAGTACATACATTTGATGGCACTTATAGGTTTGTACAAGACCTCCGTGCAATCAACAACTTAATTATACCAATTGCTCCGATTGTCCCTGATGTACTGTCGCTGATCACGTGAATTCCCGCCACAGTATTTACTGTGATTGATTTAACAAATGCATTTTTTTCTGTCCTAGTTGACAAAGAGTCACAACTAGTGTAGAGGCTTCCTGTTCATTCATAACAGGGGCTGAAGAAAAAGAGATCGAGGGCTCTGTGTCCTCAATCTCTTTTTCTATTTCGAAAGGGAAATATCAGGGGTCTGTTTAGACCCCTGAGATTTCCCCAGAGGCCCTGACAGTGAAGTAAAATAAAAAAATATTTTAAAAAGTTTAGAACAAAACATAATATTTTTTTTTTGCTTCGGTATGAAAACCCCATTTTGGTGGATCTTTAATAATAATGCTAAAAATTAAGAAAGTGACTGGCCGTGGAGGTCTGGTATAGTTGATTGTGCTAAAACCTAATGTCTTTACAGAAATGCAAGCTTTTAAGACAGTTGCCACGTAGGACCTCCTTAAAAGGTTCTACGTGGACCTTTCTCCTACGTGGACCTGTTCTTATGTAAAGAACCTAACATAAACATATAATTATTTTTCTTATCAGTTATGATCCCTTTGTATGCGCCTTTTATTTAAAAATAAACGTTTGACACAGAAGCTTAATTTAATTGGACTTAACTCATTTGATTTGTTTATTCTTGGCACTCTTCTTGGCAAGTTTAGGCATTCCTTCAAAACCTGTGCATAGTGGAACTGCTCAAACTGGGTAGATGTCTTTAGGTTAGGTTATAAGTAAACTTTTGTATTGGCTACATTTTGAGCCTGTAACTATGCTGGAAGGTAATTTGGTCACACATGCCTGGTGACTTGGAAACAGAAGCTGAAGCCATCACACGTTGAAAAGCCTGAAGGGAACAGTTGGAACATGCTTCACCATGCTGCTATTACAGCTCCTCCTCTCATTGCCGGCAACTGTCAGTCTAACTATATAGGCACAAATAGAGGTTCACACCGAGGAGAATGATGCAAGACAAAAGAAAGGAATTTAATAGTGCAACAACATAACCTTTATACATGTGCTCACCAAAATATACCAAGCATGGCCACTAGGTGACACACAGAGACTTTGTATTCAAGCATTACAGGAAACCCTGCCTATAGCGCAATACACGAAATTCAATAATAATATGTAGCCTAATTTTGGTTTAGGACGCGCTTTTTAGCAATCAAAGCTAGTTATCAAATTAAATAATACAATAAGGCTCTACATGCAACATGGGGTGTTCTGTGTATGTTTTGGGCCACACTAGTCATGAAAGCCTGCGTGATCTGAGCTAAAAGAAGACTTAATAGCAGGACAAGTT